AACCTCCCCACGAGACCTCCAAAGAGGTATATCACGCAGATTGGTTTCGGAAGGGTACCCTGAACTTCTTTTACCGCCAAACGCCCTACCTTCTATTGAGATAAAAGTATCTTCGTCCCGGCTACGCCCATCGCGAAATAGTTACATGGCCTCCAAGCCTTCTGAGGAAGAACCTGTCTTCACTCTCAGCGTCTTCTCTAGATCTGATGGATCTGAGCTTTGGCGTGTGGAAAAGGTGATTTTGGCTTTGCCTCAACTTGATCAGCAAGTGAAACAGGTGTCAGGTTTTTCAGCCAGATTGCCCGATCGATCTATATTCAGCGGCCACTCCCCTGCAAAGGTTGATGCGCGAAGGGCTGCGTTGAATTATTACTTCGGAGCCATGTTAGACACCCCAATGGATGAAACAGCTGGGTTGGTAGTATGCCGATTCCTGACATCTGACGCGATCGAACCCCGTGACGATGAAACTAGCCTTCTCCGTGGCCCTGGCAAGGCTCGACCGACCATCCTCCTGGGTCCAGATGGAAAGCCAAGAAAAGAAGGATATCTCACGAAAAAGGGCAAGAACTTCGGAGGATGGAAAGCGAGGTATTTCGTCCTACACGGGCCAGAATTCAAGTATTATGAATCTCCTGGAGGACCGCACCTGGGAACTATAAAAATATACCATGCCCAGATCGGGAGGCAGTCTCAATCGGGACATAGCCACTCTCCAAGTGAGAATGATGCGGATGATCAGTACCGTCATGCGTTCCTTATTCTAGAGCCGAAGAGGAAGGATTCTTCAGCTCTGGTCCGCCATGTTTTATGTGCTGAAAGCGATGAGGAGAGGGACGCTTGGGTCGAAGCTCTAATGCAATATGTCGAAAGCCAATCTTCCGATGAGGAAGGCTCCCATTCCACCACGGTATCGAAGAACCCAACGAGACCATCGACTAGCTCTGCTTCGAAGTCAGGATACGGTTCTACTAGCGCCAAAAAGGGGGTTAGGGAAACCGATAGTCCAGACTCAGAAAAAGATGGTCTTCGGGGATTCAGTTACGATGACGCAGTCCCAGCCAACGCTCCTGTTCGTGGGTATACGTTTGACAAGAATGGGGTACCTCCGTCTCCAGCCCGGACCGGATCTGCCGCTGAATTCTATAATTCCACTACCGATCTAACTGGTTCTCACCCACCGAAGACGATATCTGGCCCCACCAATGGCACCGTCATTCAGGATGCTGGCATGTGGGGAAACAAGCCTGCTACCAGCGGTAAAGAAAAGAAGCGTAGCATTTGGGGCTTCCGTGCCAGGAACTCGTCTGAAATGATGACTCCGACTCAGGGGTATGAATCTACGACAAGCCTAGCGCATAACCCCTCCGTTGAAAGGCGTGACCCGATAATGCCTGTCTTCGGGATGCCGCTGGCGGAAGCAGTCGAATATTGTCCGCCGCATGGTGTTGAAGCTGACCTTCCAGCTGTGGTGTATCGATGTATCGAATATCTGACCGCGAAGGGTGCGGCGTCTGAGGAAGGTATATTCCGTCTGAGCGGGTCGAATGTGGTTGTGAAGGCGCTCAAGGAACGGTTTAATACTGAGGGTGATGTGGACTTTTTGTCTGGTGATCACTATTATGATGTTCATGCTGTTGCGTCGCTCTTCAAGACGTATCTACGTGAGTTACCGACGACGGTACTTACGCGTGAGCTTCACTTGGATTTCCTACGTGTACTAGGTAAGTTTTCCTTTTCTATAAGTTGATGCATGGACATATCTAACAGACTCAGAACTCGAGGGACGTGAGCAAAAGATCGCTGCATTCAGCGGTCTCGTGCACAGACTACCCAAACCGAATCTATCGCTTCTCAGCGCCCTCTCACGATTCCTGATCGTAATCACCGACAACTCGGACGTGAACAAGATGACGGTCCGGAACGTCGGGATCGTCTTCGCCCCGACTCTAAATATTCCAGCACCCGTCTTCTCCACCTTCCTAACCGACTATGACCAAATCTTCGGCGAGGAACTCGCAGATGTCGGTACCAAAATGATTGAACAACAACTTACGGTGGAAAAGCCCGTGGCTCCAGATGATATCCGCTCCCCTCGACATCAGATGTTCTCAGACGTTACCGCGCCACCGGCTTACAACGAAACAATCTACCAGGGGATGGAAAGCCCAGGTCCCGGAAGCCATCCCGATATTCGAAGCGCTTACGATACCGGATTTATCCCAATGCAACAACCATCTTATCAGCAGCAGCCACTTGGATCTGATCCCGGCCAGCGCCTAGATCCTTCCCAGATGAGCTCTATGAATAGGGGGTTAGCTCCTAGCAATGCGAACCAGGCGAAGTCGAAGAGGAGAGAGAGCTCTATGCTCTTTATGGGGATGGGGAATCGGAAGAGCACTATTCCGAAGTCTAGGGATGACCATTGTGAGTATCTAAAGAGGATGGCGTAGTAGAAGACACTGGCTGATGTTCCAAGCCCTGGTTGCAGAAGACTCCGCCTTTGAGTAGAGTTTTGGCATTCACGCCTTTCCCTCCGTGCTTCTTAACGCTATCACCACGCCTTCTCTACCGCTTCCCGAATTTTCATCAAAACGATAACTCAACTCAAACGCTTGCTTTTTTTTTCTTCTATTTTCATCATTTCTTAACGATACTAACGACCATGCAACTGTCTGCTCGGTCATGGCCTGGTCGCGTTTGGCCGAGAGCAGACCAAATGTGTAATTTTAATAATTGGGTTCGGTTCGATGCTGTTCCTCTGGACAGCAACGTTCCCAATTTTTCCCGCGAATGCGATTGTGAGGGTATATCTGTTTTGAGCGGGTGTGTGAGTGTGTCCGGGTAAGCTTGTGTGTGAAGATATACGTACGGGAGATGTTATATTCGCTTTTTCTTTTTTTTCCTTCCCCCTTTTTCATTTTAGCCTTGCTGCTGATTTATTTTTCTTCTTTTCATTTTCTGAAACGATCTCGGGATCTACCAGCTTTGAATTCTTGTTTTGTTTTCGTTCTCTCCCGGAACCCTCTCCCGTGCCTCGAGTGTACTGTGGAGGTGTGGTTTGTCAACTCTTTATTGGGCTGACACTATCTTTGTTCGATTTATGATGTGAATAAGTTGCCTTGGTTTCGATTGTTTGGTGTCTTTATCAATACCCATTTTTTATTCTTAGCTTTATTATATACATACATTGAATTGAACTTTTATCAAGATTCTCGTCAAATGCTCTCGTGGTATCGTCAGCAACATGGTTATAGAAACGCGAATAGAGTATAGTACATAGTTCACCGACGCAATGAGTTGGGTCCCTTTTAAAATGTCCCATAACAGAGACACGAAATAAAACCCCTTATACAATAAAAGAGATATAACAACCAAAACTAAAACGGCCTCGTCCTATCCCCCCTCCATAGCCCCATCAACTCCCCCGTCTGCCCAAACCACTCCCTCACCCCATCAACAAGCTGCTTCGCCATCCCGCGATTCTTATTCTTCCCAGACACACTTGCACTCGACGCCCCATAGGGCCCAGCAGTGTGCTCCCCAGTAGCATACTCCGACCCCATACTCGGCAGTACATTCTCCCCAGCACTCAAACTAACAAACAACGCAAACGGCACCAACCACACACATAGCCCGAAATAAGACGCTATCTCCGTGAACGTGGGGATATCCTCCCCCCCTCCTCCTCCTCCCATATTTCCCCTGCCTATCCCCCTACCCCCCCGTTGCGGCGGAACAACCGGCGCCGAAAAATGCCTAAACCACAACCAATGATTCACAAGCACGAGGCCGCACGAGAGGATGAAGAGCGGGTCGGAGAGTTTGACGACGGGGAAGCGCCGGAGGTTACTTGCGTAGACGAGGTGGGAGGCGATGCCGAGGAGGGAGAGGGAGAGGGGGAAGGAGTCGAGGAGGTAGAGGAGGGATTGGAGGAGGATTATGGTGTAGATTAGGCGGGTGAGGAGGCGTCGGGCGAGGACGGTGTGTTCTTCGACTAGTTCGGAGAGGTAGTAGAGGCCCGAGGCTGTGGGGAGTTTGGGTTGGTTAGCTTGGGGTTGGGACTGGGGATAGGGTTATGGGGGCTTACCTATGGCGAGGGTGAGGAAGGAGAAGCCGACGATTACGCCTAGGTAGCCGACGAGTGGGAGGATCCACATTGTGAGAGGTAGAGGGGGGGTAGAGTGTTATGTTTTGTGGTTGATAGAAGAGAAGAGGGAGAAATAGTTTCTCTTCTTGGATTCTAGTATGGGACCAGCTCTGGGTGACGTGACGTAGAAAAGACCACGATAGTTGTGCGTGGTCTTTAGAAGGAAGGGATGTGGTCTTTTCACACCCGTCGTGAGCACAACATTCACTCTATCGCCTGTTCTGTCTGGATGGACTCCGAAGTGTACTTTCGTATCATATGGACTGGCAGTTGCCTATATTCCTTTGCTTTGGATACATGAGGGCCAGCTGTCCGCAAGTACATGTCACAATTATACTCTGGAGGAGGAAAAATAAAACAATGAATGAATAAGTATGTGAACTCGATATATATATAAATCAACTGGTATGCACCGGCGGACTCGCTCAATCAACGCACTCTTCCTTCCTCTCCCAATGTTCCATCAGGAATACCCCTCTCCATAGTAGTACTTCTTATTATTTCTCTCTGGTCCAAAAAAAAAAAGGGATAACCATACCTCTAGAAGAGAGAAATATAAAAAAGAGAACAAAAAACTGGACTCGCCGGGAATTGAACCCGGGATCTCATCCATGCTAAGGATGCATCATACCACTAGACCACGAGCCCTGTTGATGTGATGGACTGACCGGCAGAGGGAGATAAGAGACTTCCGTGGTTCAATTTGAAAAATCTTCGAAAAATCAGTGGGTTATCACGTGTTATTACTAGTAACTTTTCTCGGCTCCTCAACCAATTAGAGGCTAACTCAAAATTACACCCTTCGGACAGGAGTTTGGAGGGCAATTTTCGAAACTTTTATCACTTAACAGGGCTCGTGGTCTAGTGGTATGATGCATCCTTAGCATGGATGAGATCCCGGGTTCAATTCCCGGCGAGTCCAGTTTCTTTTTTGATTTTATTTTTTTGTACTTACTTGCTGATATGAATGTGCTATGAAAGGGTTTGTTTGTTCTTCGTGTGTACGTTGCTGTGTGCATGCGCCAGTTGGAGGGAAGTCGTGGGTCATGTGATATCTACTTTTTGGACATTCTGCTGTATTATGATACATACAAATACACAGATACATCGGCCAAATCAGCTGTTTTATAAGAACTATTACCTAGAATTACACTATCTACAATACCCTCTTTATCTTTTGTTCACGTCACTTTTTCTTTTCCACACAAAGACAAAAAAAAGTTAAGCTCGCCGTCGCCGATATCACAAGGCAAGCAACACTCACCTCCCGCATACAGACGAAGGCGGAGCACTTCGAATACTCCCAACTAATGCATCGATAATATCCTCTCCCTACCTACTCTATCAATTACTCTTTCACCCTCCTACTCAGTCTCTCCCTCTCCTCCACCGCAATCATGTCTCGCCCCGAAGATTCCCTGTAAGTCTACCTTCTGTCCTACGAAAACTACCTCCAGAACCACCACTAACACCCCCCTCCAGCCCCCCCGACCTCTTCTACAACGACTCCGAATCCCGCAAATACACCACCTCCTCCCGCATCCGCAACATCCAATCCGACATGACCCACCGCGCCCTCGAACTCCTCGAACTCACGTCCCCCTCCCTAATCCTCGACCTGGGCTGCGGCTCCGGCCTATCAGGCGAAATCCTCTCCTCCATCCCCCCTTCTTCAGGCGGGCCACACACATGGGTTGGAATGGATATTGCGCCGAGCATGCTCGACGTTGCGCTCCAGAGGGAAGTTGAGGGGGACCTCATGCTCGCTGATATCGGGCAGGGAGTACCCTTCCGCCCCGGTGCGTTCGATGCAGCGATAAGTATTAGTGCGATACAATGGCTCTGCAACGCTGAGACGAGCGACGTAAGCCCCGAAGCACGTCTGAAGCGATTTTTCGACGACTTGTACGCTAGCCTGCGGCGTGGGGGACGGGCGGTGTGTCAGTTCTACCCTAAGAATGATGTGCAACGGAGTATGATCAGTGGGGCTGCGATGAAGGCTGGGTTTGGGGCGGGGATATTGGAGGATGATCCTGGGACAAAGAATAGTAAGCTTTATCTTGTGTTGACTGTTGGTGGGGGGAGGTTGGATGGGGATATTACGGGGGTGGTTAGTGGGATGGATGATGTGGAGGTGTTGGATGCGAGGCAGAGGGCTAGGGAGAGGAATAAGGGGGGGAAGGGCCATGGGGAAAGGAAGGGGGGGAAGGCGTGGATATTGAGGAAGAAGGATCAGATGGCGCAGAAGGGGAAGGTTGTTAAGGCTAGTTCGAAGTATACGGGGAGGAAGAGAGGGCCGACGTTTTGATGATATGATATGATATGATATATGATACCCATGGCCTTGTTTAGAGTTCTTATTGAGACCCTTTTTTGAACATGCTCACGAGATCGAGAGGAAGCAAGACGGCCGGCGCTTACCCTCCCTCCCTCCCGCCATCATGGCTCTCGGGCCGTTATTGACACCCCAAAGGGGTGTGTTCGGCTTTGTCAATCCTGAAACTCATCAACACTAAATAAAGAGACATGTCAATTCAACGGCTCCCTCACTGCATACGCCTCTTGGGAGAAATTGGTCCAATTCAAAGCAATGTCGCCGTTTGAGATCTTCTTCAGTATTCTTTTCTCCGAGAAAATGATCATCGCCACTGCGTACTGCGGTATGTCGAGCCAGCATACATACATACTTCGTCCTGCAAGGCGAGTTTGGAGATACAACCGATGGGATAGGCCCGCACCGACCTCCATACATACATAAGCGCTTGCGAAACACATTCCTCATTTTCAGTGTTCATGAGAATAATAACGCATAATCAGCCTGTCGCGATCACATTCTCTCTCACTCGTCTCTTAGAAGAAGACGAAGTTGTCGCTTTTGATGCCCTCAGCACGTGCCGCTCTTCTACACTCGTCGACGAACATTAGTCATCATCCAGGGGTTACGTCGACTCTCAATCTCTTTGCATCGACTTCACACGAAGCTTCGATATTAAAAATGAAGTTTTCTAAGTGACAAAGTCATTGTTTTCCTATATGCCGAGAAAAAAAAATGTACAAAAGATTGGCAATGGGCACAGTTCCAGCCCAATGGGTTGCTTATCATGGATGATCGGTCCTAGCTAGGGCTCGGGCACACGGATCGCTCCCGAACCACGTTCAGGTTCCGAGCCCTAACTTCTCTCAGATCTCAATTATCAGTTGGCTCTCTGGAATTTCCTCCTCATTCATCTGGCGAATAGTGATGTCTTGAATGGTCGATACCATGCCTTGGAAAGTCTCCATTTCAAGACGGTTTTCCGGCGTCTTCCAACCAAGCTCGTATGGCAGACGCTCGTTCACTGGGGAGATTATTAGCTTTTTGATTTCGAAAAGTGCCATTCCACGCGTCTCTTATAAATGGCGGGCAGTTAATTAGGGAAAGGTGCTCCTACCGAAAAAATAATCCACCATCTCCCTCGGCGTCAGGATCCTCTCTTTAGGCTGCTCGGCGTCTAGGTTCCACTCCCCCAAGACGAACTGGTACGCGGCAGTCTCGCCGTAGGTAAATGTAGCGGCGACGTCGGTGAAGGTGAATTGCGGGTTCGTCGCCACGGATGAGGTGACGCGCGCTGTGCGGGCCCTGCTGGCCATGGCTAAGTCGATGGTTGGGCCGGTGAAGTACTGGGTTGTTTGTTTCCAGGCTTTCTCGTTGAAGGCGTCGGCTGGGCCGAAGTATGTGTCTTGTCGGCTGGATTTGAGAGCCCGCTCTTGTCAGCTTTGGGAAATGGCTATATACAAAAGGTAAAAAGGGACGCAGCTGTGCGCGCTCACCTCAAGCTACCATCGTGCTCGAGGACGTTGTGTTTGGTGAGTTGGTCCAGGTCAATGGTAGTCGCGTTCGGGTCAGGGTTTGCCGGCAGTGCGAGATCATATTGGCCGACGACAACGCCCGCGTCCCAGTTGAGAACCGAGTCCGCGACGTCGACGACCATCTCTTTGCTGATGCCTTTGCCATCGTGGGGTAAGTACCCATGGTTGGCGAGGGCGTTTAGCATGGGGCAGGGGCCTCGGACTGTTCGAGGCGAAGCAAGCGCGTCAGTCAGTCTCCCTTGTATATTGTTGCTCTACTTGAGATAAACAAACTCACCGTCGTCAGGGCCCGGTGCTTTCCAACCATCATCAGCGATGGAGGGTAGCGCGAAAGCCGGTGTAACGGCTAGGATAGCAGAGAGGAAGATGAACCGCATCTTGACTCGGTGTTGCTAGTGTAAACGGAAACCTTTGGGGTAAGGCAAAACGGGCACCAGCCAGCCTTTCTTCGACGGCGGAAGATCTGGGAAGACTCCTATATATATATATCTCTACTAAGGGCTGTTACGCGGGCGGCCCGGTCCATCATCACCCTTTCCAAGGCTCCATAGTATGGGGGGGGACGAACCTCCCAGTGTAGAAGGGATCTGATTTAAAATGTCTTTGAAATAAAGATAGTCCGCCTGTTATGCATGTCCCCCCTGGGAGCTTCCTACTTAGTCAATGAACCGTTGCTCTGAGATGGGGCTGAAGATGTACTCCCATCGAGGCCAATCGATCGGAACCGTTGCGAAACCAATCCGATTCGTTCAATTGGGCATCTCAACCCCATCTTCTATCGAGCTTTGGATCTACTAGTCCAAATTTGAAGTGTGTGTGTGTGAGAAAGTTGCAGATCGTGAGAAACACAAATCGTTTTCCGAATTCGTATTTTCAGGAGAGATGCGAGAAATCGCGAGATCTCTCTCTCTGCCTCTGCGAGTAAGCTCTGCCGGGAGATCGGATGGGCGGGGGGTGGGGGTCGGTCTGAGCTTTCCCTCCAGCACGGTCTCGCTAAGATGGGGCCATCTCTTCTGATCTCCCCTTGAAGTTGGCTTTATGAAGTTTATGAGTCTACTTAAACGCTGTGACTCGCTGTCCCACGATTCCAACCCCTTTTGTTGTACATATCTTACACATCGGCGAGTCAGCAACCCCCAGCGCTAAACTAGTGAAGAGACGAATTGAAAATGTTTCCTCGGCAGAGCAGAAAAAACGAATCAAAGCAGAACGTCTTTATGTCAGAATTGCATATGAAAGCCTTTAAAAATAGAATAAGAAGACAGAATCGCTAGAAAAGAGTAGGTGGTGGTTGTCTTCTATCTTCGTTGTCGATAAAATGATTGAGACCTTTTGAGCACGTTTTTGAGCACTCCCATACTGGACATGGCTGGGAGGTAGGGCTTAGCTCGCCCATAGGTTAAATACGGTACGCCTCTGCCTTAAGAGCACTTGGATGAACTTCAAGTTTTCTCGCTTTACAAAAAAAATATATATGTGAAATTCACTAGAGCTATGATACATAACGCGACAGCTCTCATCTCCGGGACGGGGTCTATCAGTTCCCTCCTAAATTTTAACTCTTGGTCTGAGGTAGATTAGGTGCGGTTGACGGGTTAGCGTAGTGAAAAGAGGGTGGGTTGCGTGGTGGTGTCTAAGGTTTCTTCCATGATGTTCTCAAAGTTCTTCTTTTATAGCGCAGCTTCCATCTTATCCAAAACGGCCCGGGTGAATTCGTGAGTGGTGGCCTGACCACCCATATCCCTTGTCCTCGTTTGGCTGAAACGAATCGTTAGCGAAGAAGGTTAAAATAGAGAATCGGACTGGTCAACTCACCCTTCTCCAATCACGTCATAAACGGCCTTGGAAATCCTGTTCGCATGGTCATCCAGGCCGAGATGGCGCAGTAGCATGGATCCGGAGAGGATCAATGCAGTTGGGTTGGCCTGGTCTTTGCCCTTGATGTCAAGACCGACGTGTCTGCATCCAGGTTCGAAAACGGCGACGTCACGGCCCATGTTGCACCCGGGGACGATACCTGGGCCACCGACGAGGGCAGCTCCGACATTGGACAGGATACCTCCGTACAAGTTG